GAGGGACCGGGGCGGGGGAGGGGAAGTGGAGAGAGGGCGCGGCAGTGGGCCCCGGCCAAGGGGGGCGTGACAGGGGGCGCCAAGGGGCCTGGGCTGCAAGGGGGGATTCGGTCAGAGGCCTGGGAGGACGGGTACGTTTTATTCCAGGGTCTGGCAGGGTTTGGCCTCTGCCAGGAGATTTATTAGGGAGCAGATCCAGGCATTGTGGGAGAAAGGCCTTGGACCGTTGGTGCCACACGGAGGGAGGGTGGGCATGCCATGGGGAGTGTGGGGCTGGTGTCAGTGTCGCTGCCAAGCAGTCAGGGGCTACGCGCTCCCTGTGTGGCTCCGCTTTGATGCCGTGGAGAGGGCATGGCGTCCAGTTCACACCGGAGTCGTCCTGGTAGCTGTCAAATGCCCTTTTGCTCTGGTCGTGAGGGGAGCTTTCTGCTCTCGTCGGAGCCTTTTTGATTGGTTTGCATCACGTCTGGGGTAACTTTTGACCTCTCCTCATTTTTCCTCACCAGAGTAGGTGCATACCCTCACAAAAAGGTGTAAGAACGTGCCTCCAGTTTCACGAGTAGTAAGCAGTTTTCTAACAGATTTTTCCCAAGACTGATGACTGTCAGATAAAGAACTTTTCAGCAATAAAATGGACAGCAGCAACACTTCTGTGTGATAGGCTGAAAGATTTCAGACTGTGCATAGCATCTTCTAATTAAGTTGCTTTGCTTTTTTGCATAACTTTTACTTTCTTTGTCAGCCAGTAGTGTTCCAGAGCCAACAGCCCTGTTTAGAATGCGATATTTAGGAATGCTTATATATCTTGCACGGCATATGGAGGGAGGATTCCACAGGATTTCCTGGGGGAAGGTGTATACAATTGAAAAAGGAAGTTTATGTATATCCATCTAACCCTTTATACTAATTTTCTCCATTGTTTCCTAAACTTCATTTATTGTGTTTTCTGAAAAAATACGGAGTTCTCAAAATATTGGCATGCTGAATTTGGTTGCTGTGTTGTGGTAATATTTCCAAGATCAGTATTTATGCGACTCACTGGTTAAATTTGTTGTTTATTTTTCTTGTTTAGGTGAAATTTGATAGTGGGGTATTACTACTTAGCACACACAGACTAATCTGGAGGGATCAGAAGAATCACGTAAGTCCCACTTCTGTATCTTTTGTCATTCAGCTGTAAATTCTGTAATAAGCAACAGGTAGCTTGCAATTAAAAGACTGTAGATGGAGAGGAGATTTTTCTTTTGTGTGTTCTGTTTTATAAGCCTAGTCCGTTTTTTGACTCACACTGGAAAGAAAATTATGTACAGGAATGTTCTTTCACCCAATTCTGCTTTAGTAAAATATTGATGCAGAGATGAGGAGGGATGGGAATGACTCATACAGATTTTCATTTTCTACAGTACAAAAATAGAGGAGAAAAGAGTCTGGTATCATGCACTAAAAACATAGGTTTGAGACTGAAGTTGAATGTGTCAGGCAAATCATCACGTGAACTCCTCTCCCAGACTCCTTGCCTAGGAAGACCTTTTCTTCCTTGTTGTTTTCAAGTCCAAGTTTTCCTGTCCTTTGCTCCCAGCGTGTAGTCTCAGACCATGATTGGATAAGAGGATGTGGTTGGTGGCAGCATTGCTTTGTACAGGTCATACCCTCCCAACTGCCTGTTCTTGTGCTCAACCATCCCCTCAATAAGCCAGAACATTTGTCTGTACTGCTGCAGAGAATAACTCGGAGGTTAAGTGGCAGTGGCAGAACTGCGGTGTAATACTGCTGCTCAGTGCCTTGTACTGTCAAGCCACAGCCTGAGACTGCAGTTTAGACATGGGTGAGCAAGACTGAAAACACATCGAGAGCTCTAAGCACAGAATGTGGCAGCGCGCACCACCTTGCAGCTGCAGTTGAAGGAGAAGTCCTCCTCGGAACCAGGTTGGATTATGCTTGTTTGTGACACAATCGTTTAGAAATTTAGCCCTGGAAGCCAAAGTTTAGACAGAGCATGTTCAAATGACTACTCTTCAAGGGCGTATCATATTCCACGGGACTAGTTCTGCGCAAGAATAGCCAAAGCACCTCTTGCACCCAAAGGCCATTCCCTACCAATTGTCACATCCTTGCTGCAAGGCAGGTTGCTACTAAGAGCCTTCTAAAGGTAAGGGCACCAAGGATGCTCTATTTGGCAAAGCAATGTATTTTGTCCTGTTTGCAGGAACAGCAGAACAGAATAGTTTTCTTTTAACAAATTCATTTAACTGAGCAAAGATTCTGACAAACTCCAGGCTTGATTAAAAGAAGGAGCAGAAATATATGCCCAGGAGATGGCCAAAAATTACCCAGTTCTGATCTAATACAAACCAATTCTGTCTCAGCAGAGCCAGGTTTGGTTTTTATGGTACACAAATAACCTTGTTAGTGTGGTAAATGAAGCTGATTCTTTCTCAGGCTCTTAGGATTGAAACATGAGGAGCACAATGCCCTTTTATTTTCATGGTCACTTGTTGGCCAAGCTCAGCTGTGATACAGCATCAGCCTTGGGAGCCTTAGCTAGCTTACCTAGAATACACTTGGAGACAGAGTCCCCTTTTATTGTGTCAGCAAACTTTAGCAGTAAATGGGGCACTTGTCATTAGGCTAACGTAGCAAACCTTTCTGCAAAACCAGACAGCTGTGTCTTATAGCTGCTGTTGTTACATTCCATCTGCAGCTGAACCATATAGAAAATACAGTGATTTCCATAGGAAAAGAAATATGTAATCCTTTTGTTACATAGGTAGATTTGCATAACAGTTTAAATCATAAAATACTGCTTCCTCTTGCTTCTCTCACCAGGAAGGGGTGATTCTAAGTCCTTGCACTTAGAATAAGTTCATAGCTTTCTAACTGTGAACTGAACGAATCAGTCATGTTGGCAGTGTACATACTATATATAGTTTGACTCTTTTGTTAGTTTCAAAAACTTCTTTTATTTTAAACAGAAGTCCCATTTTGCCTATATTAGAAGTGAGCAGAGCTATGTGGGGATGTACAAACAGTAACCTGTTCTATGCAATGGCTGTAGAATCTGAAGCCATAGAAGAATCTAAATAGCTTGTATTAATAGTTTTAGAACAGGAAGTACAACCCATGCTTTTTCCCAATGAGAGATTTACTTATTAGCCAGGAGTTCCTGCAGGTATAATTCCCTAATCTCCTATTTGATGAGTATTCAATCATTTCATGTAAAGAGGAACAATTTTGGTAGTAGGGATTGAGAGAGCCCTGTGAGAGTGCCCGTGGTAACCTGGTGTTAGGCACACCCTCATGGCAGATGGAAGAGAGGTTCATAACATAACCTGTGTTTCCTGTATTCTGTGCAACTGTCGATCCTCAAGCTGTTGTGTGGAAGACAACATTCACCAAAGGACACTCTGCCAAAATCAGACCAGGCACCTAATTAGATACTTTGAGTTGCTCCCTTAAGCAATTACTGTCTGGAATGCATCCAGAAAGAGGTTAACCTGCGTAGGTCAGTCTCCCACAGATGGATGGAGTCTTCTTTCTTATTCTGCTTTGTTTTGTATGAAGCACAGTCCAACAAATGTGTGTTGAGATGCGTCAGCTGCTGGATTAAGTCCTTGGGTGTAGGATAGATGGAGAAATTCCTGTTCCTCTCAGAGGATAGCCTAGTTTTTCAAATGTTCAACACTTAAGGTTGATGCTTTTGGATTTTGGATCTCTCAGAGTAACACCAGTGCAAAAGTGTTAAGAACCTGTGAGCCGGCAGTGTGCGCTGGCAGCCCAGAAAGCCAACCGTATCCTGGGCTGTATCCAGAGAAGTGTGGCCAGCAGGGCGAGGGGGGGGGGTTGTCCA